TTTCTGTCTCTCTCAAATCAATAAACATATTTTTAAAACAGAATGTATAAAAACATTCAAAACTCAATAACAAGAAAATAAGAAGTCCAATTTTTAAAAAAATGAGCAAAAATTTGAAGAGACCATTTATTCACCAAAGATGATATGCAGAGGTCATGCACACACACAGATGCTCACTATCCCAAAGAAAGAAATGCATATTAAGTCAACAGTGAATTGCCTCACTACTCAAATGTTTAAAATTAAAGACAGACTGAGCCAAGTCATAACAAGAATGTAGAGCAACTAAACTCATAGGTAAAATGGCACTAGCACTTCAGAAAATAGTTTGCTGGCTTCAAAAACCTTACCCATGTATCTTTCATGTAGCCCAACTCTTTTACTGCTATGAAATCAGCCAAGAAATGAAAGCATATGTTTACTTGAAGACTTTTTCAAGAAATGTTCATTAACGGTTATATCTGTAGTCGTCAAAAGCTTCAAAACACCCAAATTTGCATCAACAGGTAAATGGGTAAGTTGTTACATTCAGTGATTGTATTAATATAATGATCCATTGATACAATGAAATACCACTTGGCAATAAAAATGGAATGGGCTCTTGAGATAAGCAACAATCTGGAGAATGAAAGATACTGGACAATAATACCAAATGATTTACTTATGTGAAACTCTAAAAAATGTAAACTATCATGAAAAAAGGCAGATCAGTGGTTGCTAGGGGAGGGGGGTGAGGTGTGCAGGGGCAGAAGAGATTACAAAGGGGCCAGAAGAACATTTGAAGAGGGCAGATATCTTTTTTTAAAAAAATTTATTATGCCATTACAGTTGTTTTATTTCCCCCCTTCATTCCCCTCCACCCTGCATACCCCCTCCCCCACCATCCCCCCCTTTAGTTTATGACCACCTGTCTCAAGTTCTTTAGCTTCTACATTTCCCATACTATTCTTGCCCTCCCCCCTATTTTCTACCTACCATCTATGCTTCTTATTTTCTGTACCTTCTCCCTCCTTCTCCTTCTTCCACTCCCCTGTTGCTAACCCTCCATGTGATCTTCATTTCTATGGTTCTGCTCCTGATCTAGCTGTCTTCTTAGTTTGCTATTGTTTTAGGTGTGGGTGTTAATAACTGTGAGTTTGCTGTCCTTTCATTGTTCATCTTTTTTATCTTCTTTTTCTTAGATAAGTCCCTTTAACATTCCATATAATAAGGGCTTGGTGATGATGAACTCCTTGGATTTGACCTTATCTGAGAAGCACTTTATCTGTCCTTCCATTCTAAATGAAAGCTTTGCTGGATAGAGCAATCTTGGATGTAGGTCCTTGCCTTTCATGACTTGGAATACTTCTTTCCAGGCTCTTCTTGCCTGTAAGGTCTCTTTTGAGAAATCAGCTGACAGTCTGATGGGATCTCCTTTGTAGGTGACTGTTCCCTTATCTCTTGCTGCTTCTAGGATTCTCTCCTTCATTTGAATCTTGGCTAATGTAATGATGATGTGCCTTGGTGTGTTCCTTCTTGGGTCCAACCTCTTTGGAACTCTCTGAGCTTCGTAGATTTCCTGGAATCTACGCCTTTTCCTGGAGTCTATTGCCTTTGCCAGATTGGGGAAATTCTCCTTTATTATTTGTTCAAATAAGCTTTCCACTTGTGGCTGTTCCTCTTGCCCTTCTGGTACCCCAATAATTTGGATGTTGGAATGTTTAAAGATGTCCTGGAGGTTCCTAAGGCTCTCCTCATTTTTTTGAATTCTTGTTTCTTCATTCTTTTGTTTGGTCATTTTTTTCCTTCTGGTCCACTCCCTTGATTTGAGTCCCAGTTTCCTTTCCATCATTATTGGTTTTCTGTGCATTTCCCTTCATTTCAATTAGTTTAGCCTTTATTTGTTCCTCTAATTTGTGACTAAAATCAACCAGTTCTGTGAGCATCTTGATCACCAGTGTTTTGAACTGTGCATCTGAAAGTTTGCCTATTTCTTCAATGCTTAGAATTATGGGCTCTGGGACTTTGAGATCTTCTTGAGCCATGTTTGGTCTGTTCACACCCATTAAGTAGGAGCGGAGCCTTAGATGTTCACCAGGATGGGGCCACCCAGGTCGCTGGGTTGTGACACTGTATGTGGGGGTGGGGTCAGAGTGGTGCAATGGAGGTCCCCTCTGCTGCTTACTACTACTGGGGCCTTTGCAGTCTGTCACACTGCTCGCTCCTTTGCTGGCTTATCTGTGCTCGAATCTGTGACGGCGGTCAGCCTGCCACCCTGCACCCTCAACTGGATCTGACCTTCACAACCCCACACCTGGGGATTCACCAACTGCATGCCTGGGTTGGTCTGGCTGAGTCTTCCCCCGCAACCCCGCTCCACCACCACTGTCTCCGCCCCTCTTACTGGTCTAGCTGAGGGGTTCCTTGTTGTCAGACTTCAGTAGTTTAATATTGTGTTATGGCTGCGTATTTGTTTTACTAAAACTTTTTTGTCTTTAAACTTGGTTGTGCGAGAAGGCAGTGTTTCCACCTTCCAAGATGGAGGTCATCTTGGCAGAAGTCCTGAGGGTAGACATCTTGATTTGATTAATGATGACTATGTTTCACAAGTCAAAATTTATAGTTTTATACTTAAAACATGTTCAATTTATATATGTCAATGACATCACAATAAAGATGCTGTAAAAGGTCTTTACTCCAGAAATGATCCTTTAAATTATAATCAAATAGAAAAGAAATGGCAGCACTAGAAATAACAGGATTGTTGAGAAATGTTAGGATAACTATACCTCTTGCCTAAGACCCCGGGAATCACATTACCCTTCTGGTGCTTTCCTAATGAACTTTAGGCTACAGGATGCACTGAACATCACAGAAAAAAAAAAAATCAAAGATCCTGAGTATTCTGTGAGGAAGTGGAGTTTAAGGCTCCAGGCCACTAATATCTACCAAAATCTGCATGTTCCCTTGAAATTTGACTGTACATGATTGCATGTGGCTAAACATTTTTACAATCTTTCTTGTAGTTAGGTAGGGCCACACAGCTGTTCTCAGCAACAGAAAGTGAGCAGAAATTATGAATTCCATATGTGATCTAAGGATTTCACAAACACATTGTCTCCCCAGTTGTCTTTACCCTTCTGCTGTCTTGATGCTGACCCAACATTGTCCTAGGGGATGGCAGAACCACAGATAGACGAAAGCTGGGCCCACGAATCCCATGTGGAATAGTGCCACTTACCCACTAGTTCCAATCATATTGTATTTTCAACATGAACAGTAAATAAACTTCTTTAGTATTTGATCCACTGTATTTTTTTATTTATTTTGCATAGCAGTTTAGCCTACTGTTAGGCTAAATGTCAAGGCCAGTGGGCCTCAGCCTAGATGCTCCCAAGGGAAAGCCAGGACTGCAGACTCATCCCACATATCCTAATAGATCTCCCTACAACTCACCTACAGCATCCTGGCAGGCTTTTTGATTTCTCTATTATCTAAGGTCAATTTCCTAGAAACTTCCATAGGAAGAGGACAGCTGGGCTAACTCCTTTAGCCTAGAACTTACTACAAGGCAAAATAAATGGGAAGGATCCAATTACAGAGATTCTTTCTACATCACCTCTTATCCCCCAGCTCCAACAGCCTCACGGGTACTGGTTTGTCTGCTCTGTCCTATTTCTTCCAACTGAAGTCCAAATCAGAATGAGTGTGCATTTGGCCTCTGGTCTCCCTCCCACAAATTTGAGCTCTCAAATGAAACCCTACCCTAGAGCAAATGAACTGGGCTTTTACTGGGACCTGCACTTCACCTCACCACAGACACTAGAGCTGAGCCCTGAGGATGAACTAGTGTTTCCTCAAACCATAATGGAACTCGAATGCCCAACACACTGAGGGCTAAGGACAGGGACCAGACTATGCAGAATCTGTTCTCAGGCCATGATCCCTTCCTATGATTTTCTAAATTGTCTATGTCTAGATATGTTCAGATTTTCTTCTCTCTGCCATTACCTTCCTCTACAAAATGCCTCAGAGAGATGGAGGGTTCATGTAAAGACAAGCATATTTGCCTCATACTAGAGCCCCCTTAGGGGGAGAAATTGCATTATAGGATAAGCTGTCCAACAGAAAAGTAATGTGAGACACATGTAATTTTAAATTTTCTAGTACCTACATCAAACAGGTAAAGTGTAACGAGTGAAGTTAATACATGTTTTAGTGAAACCAACAAATCCAGAAGATTACGGTTGTAATCTACAAGATAAAAACTATTAATAATCTCATATTACTTTTTGAATCATATCTTCAAAATCGGTTTGCACTTTATACTTATAGCCTATCTCAATTCAGACTAGCCATGTTTGAATTGCTGGTGGCCCTTGGCTACCATACTGAACATTATCTCTAGTCAACTCCCTGGTATTTGTTTGCACCTTTACATTTGCCTCAGAACTTCTTTTATAGTGGGATCTAAAAGCATGCAACACCTTTCTACAGAAGTCATAGTTGCTCACTAACTAGCTGTTCATGTTGAACATAAAGGAAAAGGGATGTGGAGATGCCGAAAGAAATCACTCTCTTCCTAAGATAATTTGTATCAGATGAGTCATTTTTCCATTTCCTCCTTTCTATACTTCCATGCATTTGGAAGATTTTAAGCTTTCAATTACTACCCTTAAATTTTTAAGATTCATGAAGGTTGTAGTGAAAATTGAAGCTAGAATCTCTTATTTTTATTTTAAAGCCACCAAAATTAACATTCTAATAGGTTTTAGCACTCAATCTTATATATACACTTACACAAAAATACAGCAATTCACTACCTCATTTATTACATTTTATAAAACCTGTGGTATTACAAGAATATAAAAATTGCAGATTTCTTTCATAAAGATACAAACAAAACCTAAATCATGTATTAGCAAAAACAAATCCAGTATTGCACAAAAAAAGTTATAGTGGCTTATTTCAGAAATTTGTATTATATTTAAAAATTGAAACAAGTCAATGTAATCCAGTAACAGAATAAAAACAACACACAATTATCTCAACTGTTAAGAGACAATAGCTATTGAAATCAATCTTCCATTCAGTATAAAAACTTTCAGCAAATTAAGACAACTTCCTAAGTTTGATCCCCTACATGACCAAAAAAGGAGAAAAAAACCTCTATCCAAATTCCATACCATGATTAATAGTAAAAGGTTGAAAGTTATCCCCACCCATCTCAAGATCTGTAATTACTTACTGAAAGATGTTCATTGTCACAAGCAGGTGTATTCTAGAACTGACTGATGTTCAAAGAAAAAGCAGAAAGAATGCAGAGCAGAGAAGGTCAGAAAGGAGATGTGAGGTGTGGGTGAGCCTTAAAAGGCACTGCTCAGGTGTGGGTGGGACAGCAGAGCATTCAAGAGCTTGGGCGGCGCAGGGTCATTGGGACAACACAGTTGCAAGGATTAAAATATGGACAAAGAGTGGTAGGAAAGTAATATTTAGTGAAGGTGTAGATGGGAAAGCCGTGGTTTGTTACATTAAAAAAGGAGACAGTGCCAGCCTCATAGTCTAAGAAAATGCCAACGCGGCGAGGGGGCACTGTCATGGAGAGGAGCAGGGAACTGGAAGAGTCCTCATAGGCTCTATATTCATGTTTATGATGTAACCCGATTACCCAGTATCCATTCTGAGGTTGGTATCCGGAGTAGACATTCCACTTCTTCACAAACGGGTTGAAAGAGAATGGAGGTCCTGCTGAATGGCTGCACACCCCCAGGATCCAGTCAGTCTTCTTGGTCACATCTACCTCCCAGTAATGTTTTCCTGAGGAGAAGAGTTGAGAGCCCAAAACACTACAGTCATGGTGCTCTTCCACGTGAGACTCAGACAGCTTGGCGCCCACAAATCTCACCTGTCTCCGGTTTTTAGACAGGACAAGATTTAAATTAGCTGTGTGTGGATTCAGAGTCACGTCCACTGTGGGAAAAGGTACAACATCAGCCAATGAGGATGAGTGCATGGGTCTTATCACATGGAAGCAGGTGGTAGGAACTGGAACTCTGGGGTGGGGGATGGGCAGAAGGGTCACCAGCTTACACCTGAGAATGTGTGTGGGGAATATCTGGGGAGCACCAGGACATGGCAGCTCAAAGAGGCCTTGGTTCTACTTACCCCAGTAGCTTTGGACATCTGTTAGCTCTGTAATGACAAAAAAGTCAATCATGTATAGAACCAACAGCCTCAGGTCTGATGTCTCTTTCCCCCCACCTGACTGAGGGGTATGGCAAGGAATTCTGTGAGGATGGGAGCTGGCCATTTTATTCCCAGCAAACATGAACTGCATCTCCTTTGCACATTATGTCTCACCTATATGATCCCCTCTTTGCCGCTATTCCCAAACACCAACTATATCCTCTCCTCTGCTTGCTTCTTACTACTACAATAATCCCACATTCAAATACTCTCTCCTCAATTTCCTCACCTCTGACCACTCGTAGCATCTTTTTCAGATTTGGGGCTCGAAACACACTCTTCAGCTTGGTGGGGAGATCTTCTGGCTTCTTCAGAGTCCAGTACTCACTCCTAGAGAACAGACTCTGTGAATCTCCTACACGGCTGACCCGTATGGGTTCCTGCAGCACTGCTGCCCTTCATCCCCCAGCCCCCTAACGAGCATCATTCCACAAGAGCCCTGATACTGCAGGCAGAAGAAATGAACAAGAAACTAGCTGCTCACTATCTGTGTAAACTTTGATAAGAATTGGCCCCTTAAAGCCTCCTTTTCTTTGTTTTTATATAAGATGTAATAATTTTTCCTTCTCTTTCTGCTTATCTCAGGGGCTGTATAAAATTCAATAAAATAATGGCTGCAAAATCCTTTGCTTAAAAAAAAAAGAAAAGAAAAAACCCACTAAAATATTTAAATTGTCAGTGACTACTGAGAGGGTCTATCATATCACAAGGGGCCAGAAATGTGTCTTGACAGGCAGAACACCAGGAAACCTGCTACTGGGGCTTTGAGAGCATCAAGTAAAGGGCTGCTTTCTGAAAACTTTTTGACTTTAAGCCTTAGATGTTCCCAGGGACTTAAAAAGAAAAGCCTTCAGAACAGCATCTTAAGAATTCACTGTCTCTTAGGATTCACTTAAATTTAGGAATATGCCAGTTGGAGAAAGAAGAGAGCCCCATCTCCAGGCTGAGAGTACAGACTTCAGAAGAGACAAGACTCCGTATTTCACCAGTCTGTGAGGAACTCTAAGCTGCCTAGGATGTGGACAACTTTTGAAGTCACCTTCAAGAATGAGACTCTAGAGTATGGGATAAAGAGAATATGTTTTGATGTCAGGCCACAGCCACTCTTCTCAAATAATTCAGGTCTATGTTGTCATTGGAATTGAGAAAAATGGAAGTGTAAGGAGAATGAGGTAGCAAGACATGGACTGTTCCAAAGCCAAGAGAGAAAAGGAAATTCCAGGCTGATATCCCAAGACCTAAATTGTGGACCCTGGGAAACAATGCAGATAGGAAAATTCCCTCTGATAAAATACATGGGCAATGACAAGCCCTGTGCATTTTGAGGTAGCCATAAACTACTAGAGTCAGGGCTGGAAACAGATACGGATGTTTGTGGGGAAAAAAGTTCCAACACAGGGTACTAGGACAATCAATGATACTGCAACCTTTTATTCTTATGGGCACTACAGTTTGTGACCTCCCGTTACCCTAATTCTCCTACCACAGAAACCAGGTCATCACTCCCTTTATCTTGGAATACTCCCAAATTCTCATGATGAGTAACTTAAAACCCACAGTCCTAATCTTCCCTGCCTTGTGATTTTTTTTCCTTTTCCCAATGACCACAAGGTAAACTCTGTGGGTGGCTGCAGGAATCTGTCACCCCAAAGGAACCACCTTGTGTTCTCCTGCACCTACCTTTCTGTGACATCACTCACATCCTAGGGAAGAAAGAGACAGGGTTAACACAAGCAAATAATGAAGGGTTAAGTCAATGCGTCACAGGCCCTGTCCTCTAGTAAAGCCTCATCCAGGTTCCTTACCCCATGCCCACCGCGCCATGATACAAGGGGAACACTGATGGCCCCAATGTGGAGGCCACGAGGTAGAGATCATAACTCAAGAGCACACTGTCCCTGAGATCCCATGTAGGGATGTGAGAACTGGTACGAATCACTCATTAGTACCTTTATTTTTACAACTCTGTGTCTGTTTGTGTGTAATGTAATATACGTACATCACCTGCATTTGCCAGACATGGTGCCTGGTCCCATGATTAAGTCATAATTTCTGTCCTCATACACTTCATTTTGGTTGCTGATGACACAGGGGTCTTAAATGTGGTTGTTTCATAAACCTCACCTCCTGTAACCCACTATGTCCCCTTTGCTGATATCTATTTTTCTTGATTTCAACACACACACACACACACACACATACACATACATGTTGATTCCAAACTCTACTTCTCATATCCACAGGCACCACCAACTCAAGATTTGTGAAGGAAAACTTACTTTTCCTGCAACCATGAGGTCTCCTCCATTATCTCCCACCTTCCTCAAGGACACCAGCATCCACACATCACCAAAGGTAAGTACTGCCCTAAAAACCGCCTTATATTCATTCACCCTGATGTCCCATCTTGGGCCAAACCAGTCCATTTCTCATCCTTAACTTGTTTTAGCCACCAGCTTTTCAAGGTTATCATGGCCACTATCTGCCTCCTTTGAACAGAATTATCTCATAGCCTATTTGGTCTCCCTAACTGCTGCTTGGTACACTTCAGTGACTGATGGTTTGATTTGTGTAACACAGGAGTAACTATTGAAACTACTTTTGATTGCATTTAACAGAAACACTATTCAAGTTGCCCCAAATATGGAAAGTGATAGAGTAGAGGCGGTAAATATGTCAACTTACACAAAATATCTAGGATTTTAAGGCTTAGTTATATGGAGGAACTCAAATGATCCAATCAAGGGCCACTGCATGGCTATTTCTTCTATGGGTTATTTCTGATGGTTTACATTTTGAAACTTGAAAGCTGCAGGCTTATATCTGGCTACCAAATCTTAATGAGCAACAGTATCGCACAGCCATGGAAAAGAGAAGGAAGAATGTGTCTATGATGGGCAAGCTCTAGAAAAACTGACTATGACATAACACTCAAATTAAAATGTCCTCTGGGCAGTCATATTAATGGGTGTGAGTGTCTACACAGATGCCTGGACTAGCAACATAAATTGATGATCCCTCTGAACTTATGGAGCAATGTTTATAGCTTGAGGAGTCTGGGAAGGGGGCTAGAACTGGGTGGGAAGGGGGAAAACTTTAGGGTAATCCAACATCAAAGATGGAAATAAAAGGGCAAAAAGAATGAAATAAAGATGTGAAAACACAAGCAAATAATGAAGAAAAGCGCCAATAGGTAGAAAGTAACTACCCACTGACTCTAATATTAGGGCCCAAGAGTAAGTATAGAGATGATTATTATACCAGCAAAAGGAGAGAAAGAGGAAATTAAATGACAAACAGAAAATAAGGAAGAGCCTGAAGGTTCCAGAATGTCACAAGGTGCTTCCTACCTCAACTTTAGTCACACTATTCACTCTATATAAAAACCAGCTCTTCAGATTTTAACCTAAGTTCAACTGCAACCATCCAATCTCTCTAGAGTTGACATCTTTCTCTGTGCTGACCTACATACACACACACCAGTGCCCAGTCTTCTTTGTATCCTAAAAGACCAGTTCAAACTCTGATTATGACGTGTTAAATGATTCTGCCCTAGAGAAGAGAGTGAAAGAAAAGAAGGGCTGGTGATTAGACAAGAATCTCTGAGTAAACTTGAGTTTGCTATGTGTTCACCGGTAACTAAGCTGGGTGAAAATATATGACAAATCACAAAAGAGTTTCAGAGACAACAGGTACCCAATGGCCAGTGATTCTTAACAGGGAGGAGGTGGAAGATGTTCCCCCAGGAGACATTTGGCAATGTCTGGAGGGTTTGTTGTCACAGCTGCGGGTGGGTGCTACTGGTGTCTAGTACGGAGAGGCCAGGGACGCTGCTACATCCTACAACGTATGGGACAGCCTCTCACAGCAACTTTTCTGGCCCAAAATATCAGTAATTCCAAGACTAATTAATGCTGCCATAGAATATCACTGGACACACATTTTCTCTGCAATATTAAATGACGTTTGGACCACCTTTTATACATAATAAATAAAAGCGAGACACTCTTTTAGCAGTTGTACTTCTAATTACCTATGCTTTATTCATAACCTCTGGACAGCTGAATAAGGCACTCCAGGGTGGAAGGAATTTTCTCCATGCCCCCATGAGGATGTGAGTCCCATGTCACGAGGGCAGGAAAGTTAGTTTCTCTGTGCCCTGACTCTTGGGTTGGGGGCTTCTTAGTGAGTCTTACCTGCAGCAGCTCCATTGTGGACCCCTGACACCGACGTTCCAGGTCTGAGATGAGCTCCTTCAGTGCCTGGCTCTGGTGAACTAGCTCATCCTCAGCCTCTTCTATAATACTGAGCCCCTTCCTCTCTTCCTCTTCCAGCTTTTTCAGTTGCCGCTGCTCCTCTTTGTCCAGGATGCTTCTCAACTGATTAAACTCTGTCTGGATCCGGTGTCTTTCAGGTTCCAGCTGGTTCTTCAAGTTCATGGAAGAGAAAAAAAACAGGCTGCTAGTCTGTGGAGTTGAGGGTCTCCCCTCTAAGCCGTGTGGAGTCAGGCTCAGCACTGTTTTCCTGGCTGGGTCTCACTGGTGGAGGAGGCATTAAGGGGAAGAAAGTCCTGCAAAACCTGGTTCTTCAATCCCACCCTCCACTCTTCCCAGAACATTAGCCTTGGGCAGCCTTACTGAGGCTTCCTGGATACACACTGTGATTCCTGGTTGAGGTTTCGATTTCCGGCATCCTCTGGGGCCCCCCATGCCTCTAAAGCAGCCTCCCTGTCCAATTCTGAGTGTGACGGTAGTGATGACTGGCCTGAGTCTAACCTGCCTTTCCAAGTTTCAGAGCTTGAAACTGTATGCTAATGTCCATGTTTCCTTTCCTATATGATTGTCATTAAAAAACAAACAAACAAAAAACAACCAACCAAACAAAAAATGCTAAATTCCCTTTTGATATGTTTATTTTCTCAATATCCCTTTTCTCTCCCCTGCCTGGCACCGAGAACAACAACCTTCTTTGGAAAGGTTGCAGTGAAGGAATAGGCAAAGGGCAGCTCTTCTAGCCAAGCTGGGAACAGACAGGACCAGGTTTCTTTGCCCTTGGCTCCCATTCCCTGCCCTGCTTCCCAAGACACCTTCAGGAACAGTCTCTCTTACTTTCCAGGATGTCCTCCTTGCTATGATAACAGCTTTTAGTTTCTCAGCTTCCTGCTGCTCTTGCCTCAGCCTCTTCAGAGACTCCTGGAACTTCTCCTGGAACAGACACACCCAGTCAAGCAAGGTTCAGTGTCAAATTGTCTCAGTGACTAGACAAGGAATGAATGGGATAGAGTATGCTAATCTCCTAAGAAGCCTGTCTTGCTCTAGAATAAAAAAAACAAAGAAAGTCAAACTATCTTTTATATACAGGAACAGATACCAGTGGAAATAGGATGATTCTTTTTCCTCCCAGGGCAAGAACCTGACCACTTCAGTCTTTTATTCTGTTGCTGACATAACATCCTCCCCTTAGTTAATCCACAAGCCTCTTCTTTGCCCCCAGCAGCATCCTTTAGTTAAAAGGCCATGCAGAGCTGATCCTGCACAGCAAGGGAGATGGAAAGTCTCTCCTCTTGGCCAGAGGGAGTTCTCTAGATTTACTGCTCTAGCTAAATGGGAGGACTACAAAGAAATTAAACCAGAGCATGAATTAAGTTTCCTGCCCAGAACTCTGTTCCTCCCTACTTTCCTTCCATGTGGGCTCCCACCTGGTACTCCTGGGCAACCTCCTCCATGAGGAACGTGTGGTGACCTCGATGCTCCTGAGACCGCTCACAAAGCCAGCAAATTAGCTTCCCATCCTCCTTACAGAAGAGCTGGAGTTTCTCGCCATGATGTGCACAAAGAATCACCTTCAGCTGCCTCCCTGCACCCAGTGCCGCCTCTCTGAGCCTCTCTGCTATGTTGGCCAGGTGCCGATTAGGCCGCAGGTTCCTGAGTTGGTAGCTGGCCTGACACATAGGACAGATGCTTTCTCCTTCTTGGCCAATCAGCGATTCTTTGCTATTCTCTGTGATGCAGGCTTGACAGAAGCTGTGGCCACAGTCTATGCTCAAGGGTTCCGTCAGGAGCTCCAGGCAGATGGGGCAGGTCACCTCATCTCGTATGTCCACCAGTACTGTTGAAGTCAGTGCAGCCATTCTTCTGGCTCCTACCCGCCCAGGCCTGGCTTCAACGGTACTTACAGAATCCTGGGTAGATATGCAAACAGAATAGGATCAGAGTAAGAAAATGAGAGAGAGAAAAAAGGGGGATGCTGACTATCCTGGAGTAAGAGGTCAGACACTTGGGGTAACAAGGGCTTCTCATTCCACTTCAAATACATTCTTTACCGCAGCTCATATTGGACATGAATGTGCAACCTCACCAGAGCAAAGATTGTAATTTCCTTTTGCTCCTACTGGATGGACAAATGGAAGACCTGGAAAGGAGTGGCCTTGGGTGAGACACCACCTGCCTAACCTCTTCTCAGTCCACCAAACACCCCTTCAATGTTAAAGCACCAAAACACGCTGCTGTCTCAGGACTTTTGCACTTGCTGTTCCTGCTTCCCCTAGATACCTGGCTTCAGTCAGCTCTCTCCTTACATGCTCCCTTGTCCCAGGGGCCTGCTCTGTTGAGCCTAGCTAAGGCTCAGCTGCCCACACAATCACTCTCAATACACTTACCTGCTGGATTTTTCTTATTACCACCTAATATATAACTTTAATAGTGTGAACTCTCACCAGAATACAGACTCCATGGGATCAGAGACCTCGTTTTTGTTTGCTACTGTATCCTCCCACCTACCACACTGTCTGCCCTACAAGTCCTCATCTTTTAAGGAATAAGAAGTTGAAGAATGCAACTTCTTCATTCCTCCACAGATTAGGCCTTTCTCATGAGCCTTTATACTTCTCTTTGCCATCGCTGGGGCATGGCTCTCAGTATCTAATCTCCAAGACCAAAGGGTATCATTTACTGTGAGGCCTGTGTTCTACACAGAGCCCTCTCATCCCTATCCTAGGACCCCAAAGAAACAATGACCATAATAACATGAGGTAGTATTTTTACAACTAACACTTTCATAACCAGTTGCGATTTAGAAATCACATTCCCCTGCTTTCTTTATCCCTCATGGGAAAACTTGGAATAAGTAAGAATATGTTTGGCCCTTTGATAATGAAATAGAGAAATTAAATGATGTTATAAAAATCACACATCTTGTAAGTTGTAGAGTTGGCATAGCTTAACACATCCATATTCCTAGTTCAAAGCTCTGTCCTCAACCTCCTAATTTTAAGCAGAAAGTTAAATGGTAAAGGTGGTATAAGACAGGCACAGACCTGGTGTTTTAGGAGTGTGAAAATAGGAAAGTTCTCATTTGGAGAAGGAAATTTCACCAGGGCCTGTCATAAACTTTGATAGGACCACTAGGGGGCCACATGTGGGGGGAAGAGGGGACAGGTAGAAAGGTGAAGGAACACACATGCCAGTGATAGAACAGTCCACAGAAAAAAGACTTGAGGAGAAGGTATACATACAGGTGGAGTGGCTGGAACAAAGGTCTTACAGCATTTTGGAAAAGCAGGAGAAAAGTGTAAACATGGAGGGAAGGGAGGAATAAAGCACTGATCCATGCCACAACATCAATGGACCTTGATAACATGCTAAATGAACGAAGCCAAACACAAACGCCACATATTATATTACTTCATTTATATTAAATGGGAAGAGACTGTTAATGGGTTTGGGATTTCTTCTAGGGGTGATGAAATATTCTGGAATTACATAGTGGTGCTGGTTGAACAGCTTGGTGATTATACCCCCCCAAATCAAATTGCTTGCACATCTTTTAAGGGTGAATTTTATGGTTTTTGAATAATATATTAACAAAAAATGAATGAGGAAAGAAAAAATGAGGGGTAGGCTAGCTTGTGTCTTCTGGTTCAGAATTCTCCCCAATCACAGCGTTTACACAGGCATGCCAAGGGAGAAAACCTAAGAGTCGAGCCTGGTACTACAGCTGGCCTGGGAAAATAACAATGAATGAAATACAGAGCACTCTACAAGGAGGTATACCATTTAGACTTCCACAGGGGGCAGATCTGCTTTCGAAGACATTAGACAAAAACAATCATGATTAATTCAGACAAGTATGTATGCATGAAAATGTTTGTGTTAAGGAAGAGTGGAAGAAAGGCAGAAAATAATCATAGATGCCATTTTCTGATTACTTTTTATGTGCTAGGCAATGGCTGAATTCTTTATAGGCATTATATACTATAACCCCACAATAATTCTTTCAGGTCCGAATCCTGAATATAACAGTGTCTAGCTTTGGAACAAGAAATCTAGAAGCTTGCCTAAGTAGACAACTCAAGGTGCTAGAGTTTATTCTAACTTTATTTTTTGTCTGTATTGAGGACGTTAAGATAAATGTCCTTATTAAAAAGCATCTTTAGTCTCATTCTTGGAAGTTTTCAATAGTTACATTATATTACTGTTGCCTTGCAAGACATTGAGAATTTTTTTAGTTCTCTCTTTCTTTTTACCATTCCGGCAATGAATCACTTTCATTGGAAGCCATTTGTTCTGCTTGCCTAACTGAAGCCTTGTTTGGGCTGTTTAAGAAGAGCCCGCTCACAAACACACCACATAGTTGAAGGCACACTGTTAGTGCCCTGGTCCCAACTGTGACCCTCGTGTGCAGGAGAGGACACAGGAGGGCTGAGAGCAAGTGTAATTTCATAATTTTTCTTGGTCTAGCCCCCTCACAAATGCAGATATACATTTATATACAATATGGTACGTGTGGGTATAATTTGAGATAACAAGGTCCTGTCATTTGTACCAAATGGGGGATAAACATCCTCAAACTACCTGCAAGAATAACACACCGTTACAAAAGGAAGGGCTGAAGAAACTGTCCAAGAATAAGAAAAACATTCTGTGAAACACAGCATGCACAGGTGTGCAGGGTGAGTACAGGGCACTGCCTGGAGGCCAAGTTGAAAACAAAAACCTCGTGCTTCCACCTAGTGTCTGCTGGTGCTCTTGCAGGTCCTGGACCTGTTCACTAGCTTTGTCCAGTTTACTAACAGCAATGCCAAGAGTTAGTATTAAAAGTCTGTTATGTGTCAGGCAATAATCTAATTATTATACATAATAGAACTCAAGAATTCCTTATAACACCAAGTTTCCCTTTAATCCCATTTCACAGTTGCATAAACTAAGGCACAGAGAGGCTAGGAAGCTAGTCCAAGTGGTAGATCCAGGATTTGAATGCAGGTGCTCAGGCTACAGAGCCATTGTTCTTACTTTTCCTCCCTATTCCTCTTTTCTATAAAGGTTCCAGAATAAAACTGTTAACAAATTAAGGAAACCAAGCAACTAACTGGTATCACACAGCATTTATCTATCATCTAAGATACTAATGTTTAACCAAATTAGTCACATGTATGGACAATGGACACTTAGTTGATTTAATATTTCCTTACGTACCTACATAGCCTCGCTTAGAACACCATAATATGAGGGTTTTTCACCTTTACAGAATTGGGATTATGGGGGCATCTCCCAGAGCTTAGCAGATGAATCCAACAGATGAACAATTAACTTTATAATGGGATTAAAATCATAACTTCCTGCTGAGTTCATAGATAAACTTGATGTTGGCACTGGGGCGTTACAAAAGAAACAAAACTGCTATTTTATAAAATTTTAATGTTAAAAATAACTGTTTGAAAAGGTCAATAAAATACACAAATCTTCAGCCAGGCTAAATAAGAAAAAAGAGAGGACACAAATTGCTAATAATAGAAATGAAAGGAGAGACATCACTTACCACTACAAATTCTATGGACACTAAAAGCATAATAAAGGACTAATATAAAAAATTCTATGTCCACAAATTTGATAGCCTAAATAAAAAGGACTAGTTCCCTGAAAGACATAATTTTCCAAAACTCATGTAAGAATAGACAATGCTGTACCCTGGCTGGTGTGGCTCAGTGGACTGAGCACTGGCCTGTGAACCAAAGGGTTTCAGGTTTTCTATTCCTAGTCAGGACACATGCCTGGATTGTGGGACAGGTCTCCAGTAGGGGGCATGCAAGAGGCAACCACACATTGATATTTCTCTCCCTCTCTTTCTCCTTCACTTCCCTTTCCCTCTCTCTTTTAAAAGAGAAAAAAATAAAATTTTTAAAAATATTTTTCTTCTTCTTCTTCTTCTTTTTTTTTTTTTTTTGAGAGAGTGGAAGGGAAGCAGAAAGAGAGGGAGAGAAACATCAATGTGTGGTTGCCTCTCACATGGCTCACAGTGGGGACCTGGCCCACAACCCAGGCATATGCCCTGACTGGGAATTGAACTGTATCCCTTTGGTTCACAGCCCACACTCAATCCACTGAGCTACACCAGCCAGGGCAAATAAATAAAATCTTTAAAAAAAAGAATAGACAATTTTATAAGCCTATTTCTATTAAAGAAATTGAATCAATAATTACTAACCTTCCAATATACAAAGTAACAGTTCCAGATGGGTTAACCTGTGAATTTTATGAAAAGATTTAACATTAACACCAATTTTCTACAATCTCTTTTGGAAGGTAAGTAGAAGTGCTTAACTTATATATTCTGAGGCCAGCGCAGTCCTAATACCAGTATCTTGAATATAAATTAGACTCAACAATAAGAGAATAAAAAGTTCTAGTTACAGAATGAGCCACAGACCTTAACAGACACCAACAAAGAAGGTATACAGATGGGAAATAAGCAGGAAAGATTCTCTGCATCTTATGTTATCAGAGAAATGCAAATGGAAATAAGCACATTTGCGAGAAGGCTACAGACCAGCATCTCTCATTAACATAGATGCAAAATTCCTCAACAAAATATGTGCCAATCAAATCCAACAATGTATAAAAAGAATTATACACAATGACCAAGAGGGATCTATCCCAGGCATGCAAGGCTGATTCAAATTTTAAAAATAAATTAATGTTAAAAAAGAAAAATCACATAATCATATCAGTTGATGCAGAAAAAGTATTTGACAATTCCAATGCCCATTTATAATAAAATCTCAGTTAAAAAGGAATTTTTTCAACTTGATAAAGCATATCATCTACAAAAACCATACAACTAGCACTGTGTTTAATGATGAGAACATGAAGCTTTCCCACTAAGATAGAGTATAAAGCAAGTATGCCACCTCTCACCCTCCTTTTCAACATCATACTAAATGTGCTAGCTAATGGGGTGGGATACGAAAGAGAAATAAAGGTATATAAACTGGGAAGAAAAAAAACCTTTTTGTTCACAAATGACATAATCATCTGAAACAATTAACAACAAAAAAACCCCTCCTCGAACCAATAAGTGATTTCAGTAAGATCGCAGTCAATCGCTTTCCTCTATACCAGCAATGAACAGTGCAATTTAAAATGAAAAATGTAACACATTACATTAGTACCCCCAAGAGGAAATACTTGGGTATAAATCTACAAAACATGTATAGGCTCTATATAAAGAAAGGACAAAACTCTGATGAACAAACTCAAAGAACTACATAAGTGGAGAGCTATTTCATATGTATGTCAATATAGCAACTACAACTTGGTCTACAGGTTTAATGCAATCCCACTGAAAATCCCACAAGGTATTTAACAGATATCAGTAAACTGATTCTAAAGTTTATATGATTAGGCTAAAGACCCAAAATAGTCAACATATATTTTTTAAAAAAGAAAAAAATTGGAGGACTGATGCTATCCAAAGTCAAGACTTTCTGTAAAGATACAGTAGTTAAGGCAATGTGGCACTGGCAGAAGAACAGACAAATAGATAAATGAAATAAAACAAGTTCAGAAATATATCCCCATACAGTCCACTAGTCTTGGCAAAGGATCAAAGGTGATACATGAGACCAAGGATAGTTTCTTAAACAAATAGGGCTGGAACAACTGGACATCCATATGAAAAAAAATTCATTTAAATATACCCTTATTCTCTTTACCAAAATTAACTCAAAATGGATAGATCATTGACCTAAATGTATAAAACAAAACTAAAACTCCTGGAAGTTAGCACAGAAAAAAGTCTAGATGACCTTTGGTATGGTGATACCTTCTTAGATATAAAATAATAACACCAAAGACACAATCCATGAAATAAATAACAAGAATTTGGACTTCACTAAAATTAAAGACTTCCACTCTGCAAAAGATAATGTCAAAAGAATAAGAAGATATGCTACAGACCAAGAGAATATATTTGCAAAAGGTGCATCGGATGAAGGACTGTCATCCTAATATACATGGAACTATTTAAACCTGACAATAAGAAAACAAACTAAATTAAAAAATGAGCCAAAGACCTTAAAGGGCACCTCACAAAAGATATACAGATGACAAATAAGCACATGAAAAGATGTTCCACCTCACATGTCATCATGTCATCAGGGAAATGCACATTAAAACAGCAACGAGAGACATTACACACCTGCTGGAATGACCAAACCCAGGAATGCACACAGCTCCAAATGCTGGCGAGCACGTGGAGCCATGGGGGGGGGGGGGCTCATTCACTGCTGGTGCAACTGCAAAATCATGCAGCCACTTTGAAAGAGAGCTTTGTAGTTTCTTGTAAAACTTCTTACCATGTGATCCAGTCACCACGCTCCTCGGTATTCATCCCTGAAGGAGATGAAACTTATGGCTACACAAAAACCTGAACACAGATGTATATAGCAGCTTTACTCATAACTGTCAAAACTTGGAAGCAACCGTGATGCCCCTCATAGATGAATAGATAAGTACACTGTGGTATATCCAGACACAATATTATTCAGCTCTAAAAATAAATAAGCCATGAAACCATGAAGAAGCATGGAGTAAACTTAAATTCATATTACTACGTGAAAAAAAATCAATCTAAAAATACTACATACTGCAAAGTTCCAACTATATGATATTCTGGAAAAGGCAAAATGATGGAGACAAGGAAATGATCAGTGGTTGCCAGGGGTTGGGGTGAGGACATGAACAGGTAGAGCACCAAGGATTTGTCGGGCACCGAAACTACTCTGTTTGAGACTACGATGACAGATAAATGTCATTATGCACTTGTCCAAACCCACAGAAGGTACAGAACATGTAAACCAGACTATGGATGATTATGCTGGATCAGTGCAGGGGCATTAATTGTAACAAATGTAGTACTCTGGTGGGGGATGGTAACATGCATGTGTGAGGGCAGAGGGTATATGGAATATCTCTTTACTTGTCCCCTCAATTTTGCTGGGAATATAAAACCACTCTTAAGAAATTTTTGGTGATACCATACTATTTTAAGTGAAGGTCCACTACAAGTCCCCGACAAAAATATATACACATACATTTATTTCAAGCAAAAGTGTACCTGGTATACACGAATCTTTTAGGGGTGAGTTTGTTTCATAAATACAATGCAGGAATCACCAAAAACTTGAAATAATCCATAAAACTGTTAACTGGTAAATAAACAAATTGTGGTATATCCAAACAATGGCATATTACAAAACAATAATATGGAACTACTGATACATCTCAAAAGCATCATCCAAAGTGAAAGAAACTAGACAGCAAAGTTACTGTATAATTCCATTTACAAAAATTGTAGTTAAGACAAAACTATACCATTTGAAAGTAGATTAGTGGATTCCAGGGCCCAGGTATATGAGAAGGGGATGAACTAACTGTGCAGAGACACAAGGAAACATGGGGGATGATGGAAATGCCCTTTATGCATCATAATGTTGGTGGTCACACAACTATATATATGTCAAAACTCCTGGAACTCAAAACTTAAAGCTGATAACTTAGTAGATGTAAATCATAACTCATTAGAGCTGACAAAAATAAAAGAAGAAATGCAATGAGAAAAATTGAAAGCTTGGCTTCCTGAGCTTCTAAACAACAATTAGAACTGTGTTGTCCAACATGATGGTAGTTACATGTGGCTATGGAGCATTTGAAATGTGGCTAGCTGGAAATGAGATACAAATATAGAATAGGCACTGGATTCAAAGGTTTAGTAAGAGAAAATAATCTAAAATACCTCATTAAGGGTTTTATACTGATACAGTCCTAATAATATTCTGGTACATTCAGTTAAATATAATAAAATCAATTTTACCTATTTCCTCTTACTATTTAATGAGGCCCCTAGAAAGTTTAAAATTATATATGTGGCCCTATTATATTTCTTTATTTCTTTACTAGCTAATGCACCACTTTGGATAGTCAAGACAGGATTCTTGAAGAAAAAAGATGATGTAAGAGCTGTGGTCTCTTGTCAAAGGGTATAATAAAATTGAGGGTGGAGAAAAGAAATGGTGGAGGTGGGCGACAGTTAGCGAATGCAGTTAACACCGTTTGAGTAACCCTGTTCCTCATACCAGGCCCTTGACCACCAGCTGTGGATGAGTGCAGCCCACTGGAGACATGGAAGGCCGAGTCTTGGACTGAGGTCAGGTCCCAAAAGCAGCGTGAATGGACAGATGCGTCTGGCTCAGTGAGGAGCGCAGAACCCACAGCCTGAGATCCTTTTGCTAATGGTCAAATTAGCAAATGAAAGAGGCCAATTCCTGACCAAGTGGGAACAGTTAAATCAGAAAAGCCTGAATTAAAGTCAAGTGGTCTGCTAACCAGAAGCACTGGCATCTAGTAGAGCTATCTGTACAGGATCTCTAGGCATTTACCAGAACCAGTTCAGTCTCTGCACTTGAACATCTTCAGTGATTCACATGCACTTTAAAGCTTCAGAAGCAGTGCCTCAGGTAAGGCAGCCTCCTTCCCCAGTAGATGGGATTTAGGGTGCAAAATAGCCAGAAAAGGGTGGGGCTGGGGCAGGGCAGAGAATGGACTGATATTGAGATCTATTAGAACAGATTAAAATTCAGTATCAAAATGGCTTTCATAATAAAGTCAGTGACTGGGCAGGAGCTATTAAAGGTTGGACCAGGATGGAAGCAGGGACTGGGGCTCAGAATATAAATTGGGAATAACAAGGACAGAGCTGCCCCTCACCTAGGAGCTCTAGTGAAAGTGAAGTAAACATCCAAACAGGTGGCAACTGCACTTATAAAATAAATTGGGTTTCTTGTGTTTACAGGATAACAATAATTTCATCTCCATGTAGGGTTAGATTATCTAACAAGTGGCGCTCCACAAGTATTTGAATGGGCACATAATCAGCTCCAAATATTTTAAACTCACCTCAAAAGAAATCACTACCCCATTCATTTCAAAAACATTTTTATTAACTCTGCAAATTCTTACAATATTGTCCTAAACAGGTTTCTTCTCCCTGACTATTAGATAATCCATTACCTGAGATTTTTTTAAGGATAAATTATAATATATGACTTTTCCCCTGCATCTGTGAAATTCCACTTGTAATGCTGTATTTTAACCTGTTTAGATGTCAGTAGTCATATTTTCCTTGATCATCGTGCATTTTACCCTATTTTATTCTCTGTGCTATTTCAAAACGTGTGCATTTTTAAAAGGAAGGCATTGAGTTTGTCCCTAACAACTTAATAATTTGAGTAACAGCAATAGCATTATCTATTTGGCAGGCGGTCTCCTACGCATTTAAGTCTTTGCCTCACTCCTTACCAACACTCTAGGATAGAAGTATAACTGTCCACCTTATAGACTGGAAAAAAATGAAGCTCAAGAACACGTGGGGGTCACACAGCCGCGTCTGAGTAACTGAGCTAGAAATGAAACACAGACGGCAGCCAGCACCCATCACTCACGGTCTGAACCCACACATTTCTGCCTTGATTGAATGACTGGTTAAATGTCCCTAAGCTCATCTGCCGTATGTATAAAAAAGAGATAAAGTTATCTCTACCATGAGCTCCCTGGGGGAAGGGACCTCACTTCTTTCACAGCTGTCTCCTGTGCCACAAGTCACATTAAGCAGCCCAGTCACAGGGACTGGCAGACATCTCCCTGTGAAGAGCACATGGAGAGAATGAAAAACCAGGGAGCTCCAGATGCGAGCAGCACCAGGTGATCAGGCACTACAGGGCAAGCCAAGGAGTTTTAAATACATTCTGCAAGAAACAGAAGGCACTCACTTTTGCGGTGTTTTTCTGGAGCACACGCAACGCGTGGCCCCGCCCCCGTCGGAGAGAAGCAGGTCTGCTCCGCCTCCGGCCGGCAGATCTGGCTGGAGCTGGTGGCTCAGCTCCCAAATCCTCCGAGGGGAGGTCCGGGCTGCCTGGGTGGAGGATAAACGGTGCTCACTTCCTGGAGCAGAACGGCGGGAGGTGGGGGAGGGGCTGCTGACCTCTGAATCCACGCTAAGCCCCGTTTGCTCTCATTCCCCACTAGACCTTCCAAGAGCTGCCTGCCCACATTCTTTAGCTTCCAGAATCAGGGTTTAACTATCATTACTCTTTACAGTCTACTCCTAGCTCCAAAGGCACCTTATCTGGGCTCCCTTCCCAAGTTAGAGTCAACTCAAACCTGCAGTGGTCTCCTTCATTCTTCCTCCACCCTTGACCCCCCTCAACTAAACCTGGAAGGCAGGTCAAGCACTCAGGACTAGTGGGGATACTGGTGTTGGCCTGAAAATGGACTTCATTACTGACCTGGAGACTCCAGCCTGGATGAGACCAGAAGATTTGCAGCTACTACCACCCCGACCACAGCGAAAGACTCAAAGAGGCGGGGCCTCAAAGGGGAGGAGGAGATGTCGCTGATAGGGTGGATTTGCCCAGTGTTGCCTTGGGTCCTGAACTCAGGGGTGTGGTCGTCAGGGTCCCGACAGGCCCGAAGGTGTTCTCCTACTGGACTGCAAATTCTGAGGCCTTGGAGAATGCCTGAAGGTCAGAAGTGACATTTCTCAAATGTCTTCACTTTACTTTGGCTTTCCGACATCATGTCAGTGTTCAATAACATGGGTAATACACCTATACTCCATATGAATATATTAATTAAAATATCTAAGTGAGTAAGAATATCTAAAGTTATAGGAGGGAATCAGGCATTACGATGGCGTGTTTTGCAAAATGATGGCTTTGTGATGTCATGTTTTGCAAAATGAAAGAAAATTATCAATTAAAAATGACATATTTTAAAGTTATATTTCAATATTTAATTCAACCTCTATAACTGAGAGACTAAATGTTTGGTTTTAGATCATGATGAACACAGGCAAAGCTTATAAAGCCTAGGGACTGTGACTACAGGGTTTCAAAGGTACAGTGGCTCTGAAAAGAAAGGTAGGCCAAACTTCCCGCCGCAGGGACACTGAGATAAGAACCCCAACCTGGTCGGAGAAGTGGGTTGGGGGAGGGGAACGGAGCAAGAGGAGGGCATCCAGACAAGTCAAACCAGAAGGTCAGGCTAGTTGATTTCTTTCTGTTAGCATGACATTTTCAAGGTTCATTCATTTTGTATCATGTATGAGTGCTTTATTCTTTTGATGGCTGAATAATATTACAGTGTATGTATTTCCCACATTTGCATATCTATTATTCATTAATTTTTAGATATTTGATTTTTTTCTACTTTTGGGATTATTATAAATAATGTGGCTATGGATTTTCTTGCACAAGTTGTGGTTTTTTTGGGGGGTAAACATAGGTGTCTTATTTCTTTTGGGTATATACCTAAGAATAAAATTGCTGTCTTTACCGCTTTGAAGATCTTCCAGACTTTTCCAAAGCGACTGCACCATTTTATGTTCGTACCAGCAAAGTTAGAGGGTTCTTAATTTTCTCCACAACCGTGCCAATATTTATTAATGAATGTCTTTTCTATTGTCGTCATCTTAATAGATGTGAGTGGTATCTCATTGACATCTTAGCATTTTCCTAACAACTAAAGGTGTGAGCATTTTTTTAATAAGCTTTACTAATATTTGCATATCTTTGGAGAAAAGACTGATCAGCTCCTTTGCCAATTTTTAATTGGATTATTTGTGTTTTTGTTACTGAAAGTTCTTTTTATATTCTAGGCACAAGTTCCTTATCAGTTATATGGTTTGTAAATATCTTCTTCCCTTCTAGGAGTTATCTTTTCATTTTCTTGAATGCATTCCTAGAAGAACAAGTTTTTAGTTTTGATGATATTCAATTTTTTTGGTTACTTGTACTTTTGGTGTTATATGTATGAATGTTTTTTGCCTAATCAAGGTCATGAAGACTTGCTCCTATATTTTTTTCTATAAGTTTTATAATTTAGCTCTTATACTTAAGTCTATGATCTATTTTGTGTTAATTTTTATTGCACGAGATAGAGGTCCAATTTTATTCTTCTGCATGTAGCCGTCCTATTGTCTCAGGACCATTTTCTTTTCCCATTTAATTGTCTTGACGTTGGTGGCAAGCCACTAAAGAGTTTAATTGGTGTGTGCATCTGTGTGAGTGATGGTAGTGTAGGAGGGTGCAGCCAGGGGGGGCCCAAAAGGAGAACTTGCAATGGTGTCCAGAACTCAGGGTGTCCAGGAAATATTTTTAAAAATATGGGATGTCCTCACCCCCACAAGTCTGAGCTGGGAAGGTGGGATACATGGAGCAGGGCCACTGAGTTGTTTTGCATGACAACAGTTTCACAGATAACCTCTAGAATGGTCATTTAACATGTCTACACCCTTTAACTAGTTTCATAGATATGTTAAATAGCTGTGGCCATACTTTGAGCCAGGGAGAAGAAAGTGACTTCCACTCAAGATGTAATGGGAGGCAACTCCCCAGCCCTCCTTACAGCGCCTGTGTGAGACCTTGGAGACAATTGGCTCTAAGCCATGGGGCCACACCTGCCCAGACTCACTATGGCAGCCCAATAAAGCTGGGAGGATATGGGAGTCCTGGCCGGTGTAGCTGATTGTGGGAGGGGTCAGAAATGGGACTGCAGAGGAAGATTGGCTCGGGATTTAAACACAGACGTGGCAGCCATTGGGGAGAGAACCATGCGCTTCTGGCCAGAATGGGGACTCTCGCAGCCATGTGAGAGAGAATCACCATGTAGCTTTAGCAGAGAGAACCACGTGGCTTTGGCCAGGGTGGGGGACCCCTCACCCCAGCCAAGAGAAGAATCATCATGCGGCTTTCCATTTCTTTTCCTGAGATTTCTTCTCTTGGGCTAGGCAAAAGGGGGGAAGAAGGACTGTGTGTGTTTGTGGGTGTTTTAAGGGACTTTGGGATTTTGATGAAGACATTAAGTCATTACTCTTAAGCCTGTATAACTGGAATAAATAATTCCTTTCCTTTTCACCAATCTCTAACATGGAGAGCTATAATTCTCTGGTGAAGGGAAAGGTGAACCTAGTATAGGGGGAACCCAGGAGAAGGGGGGTCAACTAGGTAACGTTGTGGGACCCCCTTCCCTGGCGGCCAATCTGGGAAAACCATGGGAGACCACATGTGCAGTAGCTTTACAACTACCTGTCATAGTAAAAGCCTGCCAAAACTAGCCAGGAAGGATCCACCCTAAGAATAGAGTCCCTCCAGCCCATGAGGTCTGCTTCCTCAGCAGTTCCTGCTTCCTGGAGTTGGCCTGCGTCCATGTTCTCTGCTATAAACTCTGGGTGTTCAGTTCAAATCTATGTCCTGATCACCAAGAACCTGGTTACCTGTGCCCACCTGTGACAGTAGGGGCAGGTGGGGGATGACATGTTCTGAATGACTAAATTATGTAAGAAAAAATCACCAGCAGCAGTGAGCAGGGTCAAAAAGACTGCAGGCAACAAAAATGCCCAAATTCAGGGAGAGTAAATGTCTAGCTATTGCTTTAGTGTGGAGGAAAAGGTGCTTAACTAGATGCTATTAAGTATAGATAAAAGGGAAGGAAATTTGTTTTAAAAAAAAAGGTTTTTTCTCCCTGCATTTTGGGAACAATGCATATGTGGGAATTAGGAATAAGCGGGTCTAGGTGTGCCTCCAGGTTTTTTACTTTCACATCTTAATGAAAGACATTAAGAAGAATAGGTATGTGAATTAAGAGATGAAGAATGAGAGAAGAGAAATGTGTGTGATTTTTAAGGGAGTGAGGGGAAGAAGTTTGCCCCACTAAAATATGCCTCTGTGGGTTATGGATTATTTTAAACTGGTTATTTTTAAAACACAAAAGACTCAGGAAAAACCTTTGACCTCCCCGCTAACTGCCTAAAAGAGTGATAGGGGACCTGCTGCAGGAAGGAAGCTATCATATAGATCACTGCAGCTTAATGTGAACTAGGTGCGATAGACAGAGAGGAGCCCAGGAAGGCTCCTTTCATCAAAGTCCTCTCATTGTTAAAGATGCTCAGAAACGTTGATTTAGTAAACATGTGCTTTTCCAGCTTCTATTCGTGTGAACTGCCTTCCTCTCCTTTCAAGTGCCAAACCACAACCTCCCCCTACCTCTTCTTGGCTCAAACCTTAAGTGCCCAATCTGTTCTGGGGTCCCATATTTTTACGGAGTCCCTGTATGTACCTACATACCATGTAGTAGTTCATATGATCATAAGCCAAAAAAGGAGTTTTTAAAAAAATTCTCAATATGACTAGCAGAAAGAAAGAGAGTAAATAAATAAATAAATAAATCATCAATAGGCAGTGACACCTGGAAGCTCATAAAAAATTTTCAGCTGAGGTCTTTGCATGTTTGTTCTAGGGTTAAAGGTTAAAACAATAAGGAAACTGAGGGCTGTGAGGCTTGAAAAAATGCAAGCTGGGTGGGGAAGAGACTGAGCTTTTCTTTTTGTCACTGTTTTTTCTATTTCAATTCCTTTAAAATTTGTCAAATTGAAATGCTAAAGCCGTGGTTCGTTTGGGCAGTCTCAGGGTAACGAGAGTGGGTGGATAAGAACATAGATAATATTAGGGATGGGCTTGGATGGAGACCTAGGAGAGCAGTAGTGACTCAGTGGGAAGAAATTCTCAAACCCCTGTGTAAACTGCGTTACACCTTCCTGATCACACCTTCCTTATTCAGTCTCCCTCTCGGATTCTCAGTCCTCGATCTACAAGGCAAGTCTTTTTTGCATTGTTTCCTCATGGAGGTGGTTTTTATTACACACACAAGAAAATGGGGCAGATGCTCCCTTAAATTCTGGACAAGAACATGTTAATATTTGTAGAAATAACATCAGAGAAAACTTGCTGTCCATTCTCTTAAATTATTTACTAATAGGATGTGTTAATTACATAATTAAAAATATAATAAGATATAGAGGAAAAGTTTTATCTTGAAATAAAAAACAAACTAATAAATTAGCAAAAGTTAATATGCATAATCTATGATCTAAATGTTTCACTTTTAGGCATTTAACCTATAAAATACAGTTCTCCTAGAGGTGTACACAAATATACCCCACAGTAAGTATATTTCAGCTATTTTGTAATAGTAAAAAAAATGAAAGCAATGAAATGTTCATTAATATACCATTTATTGTTTGTTATATTTAGCTAATAACAATTAAAACAACAGTAAAATAGGTGTTACTGCCTTTTGTTTTACAGAGAAGGAAATTAAGCTTTAAGAGGTTAAGTACAGCTCCCCCACAAATAACTAGTATGCACTGAATATGGTGACTGCAACTTCCACGCAAGGGAATTTGACTCTAAAGCCTTTGGGTAACTTGGGAACAGTTGCACTCCTGGTAAAGCATAAGGGTGTGGATTAAACGAAGTTTAAACATTTTAGTTACAA